TTTTTTTGAATGACAATTATCAATAGTTCAACTAAAGTTTTCAGTATATTTGAATTAGCATATTGAAAAATATAAATAAGTAAATGAACATATAAATAAAGGTGATCAATTTTGATTAACATCAAAGAATATTTGTTCTAGAAAATTTGGAAAACTATATGTATCCAATATATCGTAATATAAACCTTTCATTTCACTTCTTGTATTTTAAATTATTTCACAAAACAGAACTTAATATTTAAAAGGATTTAATCGCATCTTTGTACGAATAAAGACAAAAATGTACAAAATATATCGTTTGTTATTCATAGATATTGCAATCGAAAAAAAATGATTATAAATCTATATATTTTTATTCATTTAATGTTCCTAAAGTCTGTGGAAAGTACTTAAGTACATATGAAATGAAAATAAATTAATAATAATGTTAAATATTCTATTTATTATTAATGTACGAATATTTAACAGCGGATAGATAAATTGATTTCCGAAATCTTAATGTATATTTAATGTGTAATTTAAACTTATCATAATCTTTCGTTTATACGGTGTGTGGTGCGTACATATCATACAAGTACCCACATAGAGACGCAGAATAGATCATACGCACACTCCGTTACAGCCGTCACTATATAACTGATCACGACAAGTTTATGGTGACGTGCACTTTCATTTTTATGACAGAAAGTTGATTAACTGTTAAATATAAGTAATTAGAAGTAATAACAAACTAGAAGTTTTGTGTATTGTTTATCAAAAAATAAAACTGCACAAATGGTGCGCTTGCAGCAGAATACATATGCTACATTGTTAATATCTTGCAGAAAGGTCTCCTAAGAGAGGAGTGCCTTTAATAAGAGGTTCCTTCTTTCTTAGTTAGATACTGAGGATCTTAAACATGACTGATAATCGTGAAAATTTCTCAATTCCAACAAATCAAAGTAAGTGACAAGACTAGCTAAATTAATAGTAAATATAATATTTATTTTGTTACATAACCTAAATATTATTTTATTGTTAAGAAGTCATATAATTTAGTTATACATAAATATGTGTGTGTGTGTGGTATTTATCTTACATACACATAGTAATATATGTATATACATATGTATATATCATATATATATATATGTATATATATATGTACATATACGTACATATATGTATATACATATATACATATATTTCTTTATACATGTATATATATATATTATTAAATAATATTATAGTTTTTAATAATACCACTATCTTTAATATTTAGGTTCCAGCAGATCGTTTAATTCTTTACGTTTGGAATTTGGACCTATCAGTGACGTTCATAATGAAATGTCAGGTATAATATATGTATTCGATTAATTAAATAACATACGTATGAAACATGAATTTATATGGATTTTGGCATTATTTAATGTTATTAACTTCTTATGGGAACAAGGTCATTTATTATTTTACAATTTGCAATTTTAAGTTTGAAAGATGACAACTGGAATTTGGTTTTTTTGTATGTATTTTATACAGTGGATAAAAAATATATATGACATTATAATAAAAAAGACGTTTGTTATATTACAGAATAATTTTATATTTATGCTTATTTGTTGTAGCGGAAAAACGAAGACAGTTGAAATGTAGTTTCCAAATACAAGGAAGCGAGATGACGTTAATTAACTCAACAAATTCTTCCCTTTCCAATTCGAGTGGGGCTACAGCAGCATGCCCACCTATGTAAGATGTATATCAAAAGAAAGATAAAAAAAGTCGTTGTATTTGAATTTTTAAATAATATTTCTTAACGCGTTTTATCATTATATTTAATTTAGATCTTTTCGTCCGAGTTTGCCTTTGTCTTTGCCAAAACTGCCATTAAGACCACGTTCTACAGTTCCAGCAGATCTTCCTGATAAAGCGAGGTGATTAAATTAATCGAGTATAATTTGATTGTATCGTTAAGTATTATTTTTGTTGTAATTGTCAAATATTTTGTCTTATTTATGCGTGTATTAATAAGATAAATTGGGATATATATACATCATAGGGATAAATTACGAATGTGTCAGTCCATGCAAAGTACTGGAAAATTACAGCTATCACCGAATGTGATATATGATTTCACAAGCGAAGATCTCCAAGATTTAGGAGAAATAGGACGAGGAGGTTTTGGCACTGTAAATAAGATGATTCATAGGATAAGCGACACTGTTATGGCTGTGAAGGTATACAACTTCATTTTATAATATCAAATCCAATCTCGTTCGCGAACTTCAACTTAAACCGAAACTTAATTACAGAGAATTCGTTCTACAGTGGATGAAAGGGAACAAAAGCAACTACTAATGGATTTAGAAGTTGTCATGAAATCCAATGAATGTCCATGCATCGTGCAGTTTTATGGAGCTTTATTTAAAGAAGTAAATTTATAAATATCCTTAAATGTTAGTTAATTTAAACGTGACGTCGAAATTGATTAGTCAACTGACGGAAGCGATAAATATTTCAAACAAGATCCGATAGTGTATTGCGGATAATACACTGTGTATAATCGAATTCTTTTCTCATGTCGTGTTGTATTCTGTCCAGGGTGACTGTTGGATTTGTATGGAACTGATGGATACTTCGTTGGATATATTTTATAAATTTATTCATGAGGTACTGAAAGATAGAATACCAGAGCGTATTTTAGGAAAAATTACTGTTGCTACAGTAAAAGCACTCAATTACCTCAAGGAAAAGTTGAGAATAATTCATAGAGATGTAAAACCTAGCAATATTCTATTAGACCGACATGGTAATATAAAACTCTGTGACTTTGGTATATCAGGGCAATTAGTAGATTCTATTGCGCGTACTCGAGATGCTGGATGCAGGCCTTACATGGCTGTATGTAAAGTAACAAATTAAATGGTCGATAGCTTACGAGTACACCGAACAAGTTCTTTTCTTAAATAGTTGTTATCTTTCAGCCAGAAAGGATAGATCCTCAACGTGCAAGGGGTTACGATGTAAGGAGTGACGTGTGGTCATTGGGAATTACGTTAATGGAAATTGCTACAGGTTATTTTCCATACCCGAAATGGAATTCGGTATTCGAGCAGCTTTATCAAGTGGTTCAAGGTGACCCACCAAGGTTATCACCTAATGAAAATGGAAACCATTTTACCATGGATTTCGTGAACTTTGTAAACACATGGTAAATTATTTTCACACGTACTACTTGTGTATCTGTTGGAAACGATCGTGAGTATCGTTTAATAATTCCTCTTATTATTCCTAAAGTTTAATTAAAGAAGAGACGCAGCGGCCAAAATACAACAAATTATTAGAACATCCTTTTATCAGAAAAGCTGAGGAAGATACAGTGGATGTTGCTGCATACATAAGTGGTGTTCTCGACAACATGGTTCTCAGGGGTTTGACGCCGTTTACCACTAATCGACATTGAACATTGAAATTGAAATCATGGGAATATACACATTTGTACCTTAATTTCTATTATTTTTGAAATTTTAAATTGATTATTGTAAATGAGCAGGTCATTTGCACTTTGGTCTAGCATAGATAGTAAAATTAATCGACATCGATCATTGTTGATAATAAATAATTTTGTGTAGAATCATATAGTGTGGTGTTGCAGAGTCCTTACATACATAAAATTAGAAACATTTTAACGGCGAATTTATTACGTAATACATAGAGGGAAATTCTAAATTGAATTTTTCTTTGAGATTACGACGAGAAGCACTCGTGTCTATTGCCCGCTTTATATTAGAAATCCTGAGAATAAGAATGGTGTAACCCCAAAGGGTGATATTCAATACATGAAATAACAAATTATCTGATTAAATTATTTGAT